CTTTGCCAGCACGGGGCAGCTGGAGCGGGAGTTTGCAGCTGACATGCTGGAGGTCATCAGGCTTAAGCAGCCTCAGGCTGACACAGTGCTGGGCTCAATGAGGCCCCAGCAACCCCCCGGCTCCCCAGGCCCGCTGCACTTTGAGCCCCAGGGTCCCCGCTACAGTGTCAGGGGCAACCACATCACTTTCCAGGGCTGGAGCATCGCCTTCGGCATGAACCCCAACTCCGGCCCTCGCCTCTTTGACATCAGGTACCGTGGGGAGAGGATTGTCTATGAGCTGAGTCTCCAGGAAGCCTTAGCTCTGTACGGCTCCAACTGCCCTGGGGGCATGTCCACGCGGTACATGGATGGGAGCTTTGGCATTGGCAGGTTTGCCTACGAGCTGGTCCGGGGCCTCGACTGCCCCTACACAGCCACCTACGTGGACCAGCACTACCTGGCAGAGTCAGAGACTCCCAAAACCAACCAAAACTCACTCTGCATTTTTGAGCATGATGCTGCTCTCCCTCTGCGACGCCACTTCTCTGACTCACAGTCCTTGTACTATGGTGGGCTGCGGAAAAACACGCTGGTAATCCGAACCATCTCCACGCTCATTAACTATGACTACATCTGGGACTTCATGTTTCACAGCAATGGGGCCGTGGAGGTCCGGGTGCATGCCACTGGCTACATCAGCTCCTCCTTCCTCCATGGCCAAGGCACTGACTATGGCAACAGGGTTGGGCCCCACACGCTGGGGACGATGCACCTCCACCACATGCACTACAAGGTGGACCTGGATGTTGACGGTAGGTCTGGTCACCTTTGTGCGTGGCTATGGCTCACTGTGGCCTGCAGCTCTGCGTGGGGTATGGAGCTTGGGAGGGTTTTCCCTTCTGCTTCACAGGGCAGCTGAATTCCCTGGAGACCCAGGACATGGAGTATGAGCTTGTCAAAACCCCTTGGAGTATGCAGAACACCATTGAGCGGCCCTACCTCCGCAGGGAAAGGCTGGAGAGGGAGGACGAGGCAGCATTCCCACTCAATGGCCCCATGCCCCGCTACCTCTCCTTCATCAGCCCAAATCCCAACAAGTGGGGGCACCCACGCAGCTACCGAATCCAGATCGTCAGCTTTGCCGGGGAGCACCTGCCCATCAGCAGCCGCATGGAGCGATCAGTCAGCTGGGGCAGGTGGGTGCCAGGGCTGGGGGAGCACAGCCCACCCTGCCTCTCCTCTCACCCACCACTGTGGCCCAGGTTGCTCCTGCTTCTGGCTGGGGTGACTGCCACCTCTGACAGGCTGCAGGGAAGGGTTAAAGAGTGAACATGCATGGCTTTTGGCTCCAACATTCCCTTGAAAAGTTGCTCAATAACATCTGCTCATGGTAGCTCACAGGAAGGAATCTGACCCCAGGTCAGACTGATTTAGAGCAACCGCATGTTTTTCCCTGCAAGGGGAACTAGGCCGCAGGACAAACTCTCAAGGGAATCACTGGCATCCCCAGGTTGTGATATCTTCCAGTGAGGACAGAAGATCTTTTGGAAAATGCTTAGGATAAGCACAGACCAGTTTTCCTGCCAGAGCAAAGTGACAGAGCTCAGGTTCTGAGTCCGTAGGGGTGAGAAGTAGCTGTGGCTGAACGGGGTGCACTGGCTGTTGAGTGACAGTATCTGTGCCTGGATCTGCTCATGTGTTACCAGCTGTGCTGGAAAAACCACAGGCAGCAAGGGATGCCCTGTGAGCCCAAAGGTGCTGGGGCTGCTGCCCATCGCTGCTGTGCTTATCCCTGCCAGCCCTTTCCCTCCCCACCCCAGGACAGACCAGGTCCCCTGGCATGTACCAGGGATGCATCCAGCCCCAGTTTGCCAGCACGTCGTAGCTGGCAGTGCCATGGCTGCCCTGCACCGTGCTGGCACGGACAAGCCCCTCTGCCCCCTGTGCCGGCAGGTACCGGCTGGCTGTCACCCGGCGGAAGGAGGAGGAGCCCAGCAGCACCAGCATCTACAACCAGAACGACCCCTGGACGCCCACAGTTGCCTTTGCTGACTTCATCAACAATGAGACCATCTCTGAGGAGGTAAGCTGGGGTCCCCAGGGCAGAAGGCAGCTGAGCACTGTGGGCGCTACGCTGCCTCCTGCCCTGGGC